CAGGAAGTGGTGTGTGAATGCTGTCCCTTGCTAACCCAGTTGCTCTAACCTGCTTGCTGCTGCTTCTGCTTCCATTGCAGGATGCAGTTTTTCACCCCCTCCACGTGGAAGCAAACTGGCACCCCCAAAAGTTTGCTTGCTTATGGGCAGCTGCACCCTGTCTTCAGAACTGGTGCAACTAACATTGCTGTGCTTCACCTTTTATTCCTGTACAAAATCGAGGACCAAGGAGCAATGTTACCTCTAAGCTGTGGAGTCTTGTGAGCAAAAATTCTACTTTGTGAGCTACTGGCATTGAAGTTGTGAGCAAGTGATTTGGCTACTGCATAAATTAGTTTGCTCGGGAGCTATCCTTCCTGAGCTAAGACAAAAATCTGTGAGTTGGAGGCTAAAAAACTGTGAGCTAGCTCACACTAACCCAGCTTAGAGGGAACATTGCCAAGGAGTATTGAAACTCCCTCCATGTTGTACAGCAGCTAAAGTTCAGCTAATGCTGTCCAACACCAAAGGCAGGCCTGCCAAGCCCCTGATGGGGGCTAGGGTTGCCTGGTGCAATCATCATGCTGGCGGGGGGATTTGGGGGGCAGTCTGGGAGTGGGTGGCAATGTCCCCAACAAAATGATGCTGCACAGAAATGATGTCATTGTGTTGGCAACGTCGGGGGCGGTGCTCTGCTTTTTGCGCAGACTCTATGGTAAAAATTGGGCTCAAACCATAGAGCTTTGCCCAAAAAGAACGTTGCTGTTTTATGTTGTTGGTGTGGTAATGTAACTTCTGCATGACATCATCGCATCGGGGAAGTTGCTATGCGACATCCCTGTTCAGGGGCGGGGCTTCCCCCACCAGGCAGCTGACCAGCGGTGGGCAGAAGCCCCCAAAATCAGGGGATTCCCCACCAGGACCGGGAGTCTGGGAACCCTATTGGGGGCAGTGGATCCCCCATTCTGAGCTCTCATTGTCTGCCACCACTCCAAATAGCAGTGGGGGAAACAACCCCCCCTTACCTGTGCTGCAAGCGTGATGATGTCACTTCCAGGGGAAACCAGAAAGCAATGGTGGTAGCTCTAGGAATCACCTGAAACTCTTTGGTTTCCCCCAGAAGTGACATCATCATGCTCGCGATACTGCTCCCCACCATGTTCCCACCCCCAGCCCTCCTGCTGGTTGCCAGGCTCAGGTTGGCAACCCTAACCAAAGGAGCTCCCATCCGAATCCTCCTGCTGTAACAGCCAATACGTTGCTGGCTTTGGTGAACTCCCTTCATCATTTAGATACCTCAGGATGCTCACTAGTTTCCCTGCCTATTTTACTCTAACCCACACAAGTTCTGCACAGAGCCAACTTGTCCATTAGGCACAATAGGCACAGTGCCTAGGCCCCACAATACTTTTAAGGGGCCCACACAAATGTTTACTTTTTTCTTTCTCATCAGGGAAAAAAAAGAAATATGAGGTTCCACAAAATTTATTAAATTTTGCCTAAAACAGAAAAAAATAAAATGTTGAAGTATTTAAAGTTAAATCAAAAATAATTTTTGATGTTGATATTATTATGGTGGGAGGGGCCCACGAAGTCAGAAGTGCCTAGGGCCCATGGAAGTCATAATGCAGCCCTGGTCCTGCCAACATATATTTAAGGGCTCACCAGTCATAGGACTAGGCCTATTTAACTAAATCCATTTCAGACAGAGCTGAACAATAGGTCTCATCCTGGCCAGCCTCAGAGATATTCCCTCCCCCAATTTCTGCTTGTCCCCTATGGGTGACCAGCTAATCTTTACTGCCAAAACCTGGTGTGGAAGTGAAGGCAACCAGAGAAAAGGCCTGGATACAAGTGGTCAAGATACCTTAAATAATGATGATTATGTCTCTCACCCATTGGTACAGTATACAAAGTGTCCAATGGTTGACTGTCCACTACCTAACCTATATTCCTCATCCTCCCACAGGTACGGGCATTAAATTACCTCTACTCTTGTTTCTCTTTTGCATTAAAAATGCTATAATGTTAACATAAATAACATGAAATGTTTATTTGTATGGATCTAAAGAAGGGAGCTGCGGTGGCTCAAGTGGTTAAGACGCTGAACTGCAGGCTGTGGAAGGTTAGTAGTTCAGCAGTTCGAGATCCGGGTGCCGCATGATGGAGTGAGCTCCCATCTCTAGTTCCAGCTCCTGCCAACCTAGCAGTTCGAAAGCAAGAAATTGCAAGTAGATAAATAGGTACCGCTTTGGTGGGAAGGTAACAGTGTTCCGTGCGCCTTGGTGTTTAGTCATGCCAGCCACATGACCATGGAAACGTCTTTGGACAGCGCTGACTCTTCGGCTTTGAAATGGAGATGAGCATCGCAACCCTAGAGTTGGATTCGACTGGCTTTCGAGCAAGGGAACCTTTACCTTTTTAAAGAAGGGATATGCAAGCATGGTTAGAACTTTCCTTTCGTTTTCACTACAGAAGATCCAGTGTAAATGGCTCTCTTGTGTGTACATACAGGTAGATTTTTCCTTCCATGCTTTCCCTAAAAGGAGCCTTGTTTGTTGTGGAGTCTCTTAGATGAAAATAGAACTATATATCCAAGTACAATGAATGTATCC